GCCTTAAATAAGAAAGCAGATTTTGAAGATTGCAGAAACACAAAAATATCAAGAATTCAAAATTATGAAGGGGGAAATTTTGATATAAAAAAATTACCACAAAACGAATGCTTTCTAACTTAATTACATTATTCTATATTTTTCTTCCTGTATCAACAGCAACTGAAAAGATTTTTTCAATAGTGACATTAAATAAAAATAAAGTAAAAAATTAACTACAAATTCCCTTGATGAATGGCCTTCCAATGAAGGAAAAAACGTTTCTAGGATTCAGGTTTTATAATTTTTGAACGGTTAATTAATAGAATAAAATAAGCAAAAAATAATGAATAAATACGCTTAGGACTTCTTTTATAAGTAGGAACAGCCGTTCATAAGCAAATAGGATATTAAATAAGTGAACATTTAATGCTACATTATTTTAACCATTTCAATTATGCTGGAGTTCATATTAATACACATATACTAGGAGTTACAACTGGAATTTTCGTTATAATTGATGATAAACAACTGTAGTTTATGTTCTCTGGGATAAATACAATGAGTAAGTTATAATTTTTCATATTTGCCCTGTATGCATTAATTCATCGGTTTTAAATTAATTTATGATACTAACACAAAAAATGCCCCAAATAAAATAAAAGTTATTAAGAGCCTAGTTAAATAACTCTGCAAGTTACTACTTACAAAAATTGCCGAGCAGTAATTTAAGTAAACCTATTCTCATTACTTTCTACCTATCCAAATTCAAGCCAAAGATAAAACACTTACTAACAATTCCCCCTCTTTTTTCCCAAAAACTAATACTCAGCATTTTATTGGAGCAGGGGAGCTACTTTGTTAAGAACACCATTTACATGTTTTTGGTCACTTCATAAGTTACATAACTGTTCTACTTGGAGAATTTCCTCAATACATGCCTTAATATGAAACAAAATGGGAAAATGCAGAGAAATCAAACACATTGATTAAGTGACACTTCTCTGCAGGCGATGACAGCTCAAATGACTGTGGCAATGCACGCCTGTTTTCTCCAATGCTCTAGTGTACACCACCACCTAGTGCTGAACGAAGATGTTTCCAACCATGAGTTGTTATGCAAATCTAAATCCTTGTGATGTCCCTAACCTCCCCTTAAAGTTTGTCCCAATAATCCTGGGACAGCCTGTATAATGCAAAATAAATTTACTTTGTATTTATATGCACACAAATATTTTAGAATGCGAAAAACGTAAACAACATTTCAAGTTTTTCTTTAATACAAAAACAAATTACTTTGTTCCTATGCTGCAGAAATTCTGAGAATGTTCTTGTAGCTGTTTAAGAAATTCATTATAGAAAAAGAACAAAATTTTAAATAAAACTTCAAAAATTTTATGCACTGTTCCAGAAGATTATCTGCTTTCAACACTATAGGAAGAGCTTTCACAATAACCTAATCTTATGCCGTTTTGCTGCCTAATTTTATGGCTAGAGCTTTTCTGCTAATCTGACACTACAGCCTGTTATTTGAGAATCAGTACTTCAGAGTCCTTTTCTCCCACCTGGCTTCAGACCCCCAATTTTCTGCCTGACTTTATTTCTAGTCACTGTGTTTCATTTTGAAAAAAGTGCACAAACAAAAACTACCTTGAACTACAATCTTAAATGAGCTGGGGAAAATAAGTGCAATGCCATGATGATTGCAAATTGAAAGAAAGTTGGAAAGGCCTCAGAGTGCTTATTTTAAAGTAACACACTACATAGCTTTGAAGTTATTTAAGGCACAGCTTGACCAAGGAAAGCATGGCATCTGCTGCATATATATATATATATATATATATACATCAAGAAAACATTTGCCTTCTATTCCATTTAAACTGCTTTAAAAACTGTTAAAAAGACTTATTTGGACATAACTTTGCTTTTGACATCAGCAATATTCAAGCAATTTAAAGTTGCTTATTCAATTACAACTCCATTTCTGTTAGCTTTGCTTCCACAGATTTTAAACATAGAGTACAATGTCCGAAATCTGGACATCCAATATTTGGAATGATCTAAAATCTAGACCTGTGGACTACTTTTACTTTTTTATTTATATTAAAAAAAATTTGTGTGTGTGTGCAAACTTTACACATATTCATGTCATGTTTTTTCTTAATAAAGCACGTGAAGAGTCCCATTCTTAATTTTACTTCAGCACTATATAAAATACCTCTGTACTGAAGGAAACAGTCATTTAATACAGTCAAAAGTCTTCTATAAATTCTGTTAGCTTGCTTCCACAGATTTTAAACATAGAGTACAATGTCCGAAATCTGGACATCCAATATTGGAATGATCTAAATCTAGACTGTGACTACTTTACTTTTTATTTATATTAAAAAAAATTTGGGGTGTGTGCAAACTTTACACATATTATGTCATGTTTTTTCTTAATAAAGCACGTGAAGCGTCCCATTTAATTTTACTTCAGCACTATATAAAATACCTCTGTACTGAAGGAAACAGTCATTTAATACAGTCAAAAGTCTTTAATCCGGACTCGTCAGGACTTCGGCGATTCCGGATTATCGGTTTTTCTGGATTATACATCATCAGTTTGAATCTGGTAAGATGGCATGCAGAAATTATAAATTAAAAATATGAAACCGTAATTTATGAAATAAAGAGCAATTATGATCTAAAGGGTATCAAAATTTACAAAAAAAAAAAAAAAAAAAAAAAAAAAAAGAGCTTAATATTTATTTGTTACTTTATTAAGCATTTCTTTCAACGCGCACATGCGTAAAGCATACATTGTGCATAGTCAAAATTAGAAAACTGCAACCAGAAAACTATTTGATGTGTATTCACGATATTTATAATGACGAGGAATTTGATTTAAATCATAACAAAGACGAAGTACATCGAGATGAAATACTACATTTAGTAAGGAGTTATAAGTCGAATAAAATAAAAACATCTGCCCTGAAGATAAGGATAGTGCTGACAGATCAACTTCCAGTTCATTGTGCACCGCCTCGTTCCCCCCCCCCCCGCAGAACAGCGTGAAATTGATAAACATATTTCGGAATGATTAGAGAATCAAAGGATATGTCTTTATCCCTTTTTTGCTGATATTCCACTTTTTGTTTGATGGACATAGAAACAAGCTTTCGCTTTGTAGATCCTTTGGTAGCTCCAGAATCAGAAATTCTTTTTGACATAATCAAAAGTTCAAGCTTACTTTTATAAAACTGCTCTAAAGTCTGCAAAAAATAATAAGCCGGATCCAATTAGAAGATTAAGGAACAACGCAATCTGCAACATTAACTGAACACAGATAATTAGAGCTTAGCTTATACCGTCCGTTACACATTAAATGTGCATGTGTAAACATATATGCGCATGCATTAAGGTAGTATGTGCATGTGTTAATGCATTATGCGTTGACGCATACGCAGAAAGTTTGTAGCTTTGAGGTCCGGATTATAGATCATTCTGGATTAAAAACTTTTGACTGTAGTATAAATCTGTATGACCAATAATTTGGCTTCGTAGATGTCTTCTTACCTGCTGCTTATTTATACTTACATCTCATAGTCTGAGAAGTGACTTATACAGTGATGTTTAACAATTTTTTAAAAAAATATTAGTAATTGAATTCCAAAGAGCATGGTAACCTTTAATGTTCATGCTACACTGATGATGACAGTATGAACTGCAGTGCAAAGAGCTGAATGTGTTGACGAGGAGAAATTTAACATAAATTTCTTTCTATAGGCAAAAAAAAGATTTCATAAATGACACCCATAAGCCATTCATAAGTCATTCGTTAATGACACTGATAAGTGCTGTTTGAACTAAGAATAACAGATATGTTATTCACAGAAGCTCAGAGCCAGCACCACAGCTGATACAGCTGAGACAGGTAGTAGAATTAAAGGAAGGCTAAATTTAATTTTAGAATTTTAAAGAAGCATTAAGAAACAAAATTTTTTAATTTACCGAAGGCACTGGGATGCAAAATTTTTAGAATTTAGGAATGAGCTTGCTAGCAGAATTTAAACCCATACGATTTCACTAGACAACAAAATGTCTAGCAACGGTACAGAATAAGCCTTAGGTAGTATATGTGGGCATTTATTTATCAGGACTCACGAGCAATAGGTGCAAGTATAATGAATAACTAAAATATATAATTCAGGCTTAAGTTCATCAGTGTGCAATAGAAGGAAGAAAAAATTTAGCAGAAACACAATGTTTTTACTTGCCAACCTCGTGATACATTGCCAACGGTGTATAACGGATGCTAGCTAAGCTTTATAATGAATAGGAACAGCTTTGAAGGCTTTCAGATATCACATACAAAAAGCGAAATTTTCTAATCAATCAAATTTGTGAAGAAGCATGGAGATGTGGTAATAGATGACATAAACAGAAGATTTCCTATTGCAGTAACAATCCATCAATCATCTAACAGTCAGTAAAATCTGTAGTACAGTTATAAAGCCAGAAAATATTGCTACTGATCGTGAAGATGGTGACAGAGGTTGTTCAGAGGAAAAAAAAAAAAAAAAAAATTTAATTGGGAATAACAAGCTTTGAAGAATGGAACAATTAAAGAGAAAGCATCAGCCTGCCCCCCCCCCCCCAAAAAAAACTTACTTTAAAAGAAATGTTTAATAAGCAAACAAATAGTGAGTTTCTTTTTAATTTTGATTCCATTAAGGTCATAAATGCTTCATTATTTCATAGTTTATTTCTACTTGTCATCTTACTAGATTTAAACTAGATGAATTCGGAAAAATCCCAAATCTGGATTCGCCAAAGTCCCAAAGAGTTTGGATCTCGGACTATGTACTGTTAACAGAAATTATTATTTACTTATTCACTTTCCCTCTATTCCATGAAATACTACAGTTTTTGAAAACAAAATTTATATGAATCAGCACTATGTCAACTCAGTCTATAGCATATTTTTAAGAGCTTTAAACAAATGTAAAAATAAATTTTAAAATAAAATTGATATTTACTTTCATGTGTGATGTGGCCTCACTGTTTTTAACACCATCATGGTTGTTCTCTACAACCTCAGATTTTATTTCAGTATCCCCTTTTTTTCCTTTTTGCACTGATACTGAATCTGTGGTGATCGATGTTTCTTCATTAGCTTGGCCTTCCTGCACATCCTCTGTGTCAGTTGCTACTTTCTGCTCATTACTATCATCATCACCATCATCTTCAGAGGATTCACTAGATGAATCATCACCACTGTCATCTAAATCATCATCTAATCCAAAGTCAGACATTCTAATTACTAGCATCTCATCAGAAGAATATAAACATTTTTCACATTTTTCGATGCGGCATAATTTTACAGAACATGATTTCATATGCATTTTTATAAGATGTTCTTGCATAGTTTCTGTGACAAAACCACACTCTTTACACTTCCTTGGACCCGTATCATCAGGAACACTTTTCTTTGCTGAAGGTTCAGATGATGATGGTGATGATGATGAATCTTCAGCAGGGCGTTTTGCTGATCCACTATGAACATTATACACATGACTCTCAAATAGCCTATATAATGTAAAGGTGGCAGTACAAACAGTACATTTGTAAGAAAGATGAGCAGGCTTGAGAGTTACTTTATGGACCTGAGTCATGTGAGATACGAGTTTGTAAGTAAATACTGCACCACATATAATACACCGTCCTCCATCTTGATTTTTATTAGCCATTTCTTGCATATTTGTAGTGACCAATCCATGTGCTCCAAGTAAATGTCTTTCAAGTCCCTGATCAGTGAAGAACCGCCACTGGCACTTTTGGCAATTCAAAGGAGGTCGACTAACGAGCATTTTTGGATGAATCTTAACTTTATGTACCCAATTCATGTGTGAACGTAATTCTTCTAAGTCCTTGATATAAGAATCACAAATTTCACACATAACGAAAGTATTCCCAGAGCTACCTTTCACCACCTGAGATGGAGGAGTATTCAGACGTTGATATGGTAGAGCTGGCCTCAGGGGTCTCAAATTGACACCAACAGAAGGTAAACGAGCTTGTGGTTGACCCATCATACCACCTGACCCTGCCATGTTTGTGAACAATGCCACTGGCTGAGGTGGACCTGGTTTTTGGGATACTGTTCGATTAGAAGCAGTGCTTATTGGTGTAAGAGTTACATTTTTCATCCCTGGCATCGAGTTATTTCTGGAGGGAAGAGCACCAGCTCTTGTGACAGGTGTAATAGAAATACCAGATGAGGCAAGTTGTGAAGCAGTAGATGAAATATTAGTAGTATATGGTGGCCCACGTCTTGGGGGTGGACCTCGAAGATTGGCCATTGCTCTTGGTTGAGGATACCTATTAACTGGCCGCATTTGAGGCATCTGAGGTCCCCTAGGTCGTGTAATAACTATACCAGGAGGTAGTTGAATACCAGATCCAGATAAAGCAGGCATCTGAGATTGAGATGTCATTAACTGCTTCATTAGGCTGGGGTTTTTCATATCTGTATAGGCATTTTGACCTGATAATTTGCTTAGGACAGACTGAAGCTTCTTCCTAGCATAGGCACTACTGTCTTCTGGTACTGACAATCGTTGATTTTTTGAAGAACTTAAAAGTAATCTCCTATGGCCTATTACATCTGCTATCGTTACTGGTTTCGTAGTAACACCGGGAAATTCAAAATCAAATGGTGGAGCCAAATTCTGAGAGGGAATAAAATGTTTTCGACAACGATTCATGTGAGCATTAACTTTGGTTTTTAAATGACTCTGAAAGGAACAAAAAATGCACTCATGGAATGGTATGTTTACATCAAGGACAGCTTTTTTCCCATGCATCGCTTCAAAATGGAATATAATTGCTTCAGGATCCCTTGTCATGAATGCACAAAAGCTGCATCTATACTCTCTTCTGGGACTCAAATGAGGTGTTAAATAATGGCCTTCCATTACTGCCTGCGACTCTGATTTAAAATTGCAAAATTTGCACTTGCGCATTCTGAAATTAAACACAGCATTAATCTCTTTCAACTCTGCATGTCGTTTCTCATGCTCTTCAACTAATTTTTCTAATTCTTCATCTTGCTCAGTACTAGCTTTTAGCTGTTTTAACTTTGCACGTTTCATATCTCGATGATACCACTCTTGTACTCTACTCATTCCCATATTAATCAGGAACTGGCCAACAGAGCTTTGAAAAAAGTTTCTTTTTGAAATTACATTTGGTCTCATCATAGCAGATTCTTCACCAGTAGCTTTCTTATCTTCACCTTCAAGTTTAGGAAATTCATCAGCTTCCTTGATAAGTAATGGAACAAGCAAAGAGGGACTTTCAATGATCACTTCATTTTCAGCTAAGAGTAAGGTGCCTGTATGGGGAAATTTTACAGGCTTGTACTCTCCAGCTTTAAACCCGCTTATTTTTTCTTTCAATGAATTATAATATGGATAACCAGCAGTCAGACTAACATCTTCATTAGTAGCATGATTGACTATTAATAAATCTTCCTTTTCTTTTTTTACATTATCATCTAAATTTATTATTTGAATTTCAGAATCACTTTCATCAGAGTTATCAGATTTTTTACCTTCATCAATGTTTATTATTTCAATTTCTGACTCCTGTATAACATCAGGACTTTCTTTATCCTTTAACTGTTTTTTCCCTTTATCATTTGTTTCTGTGATCTTAAATTCTTCAAGTTTAGGCAGAATTTCATTTGTTTGTGCTTGTTCCACTTCTTTTGAAGATAAATTAGCATCTTTTTTAGATTCATCCAATGCAACATTAGTCTCGCTGCTCTGTGAATCTATATCATTATCAATTGCATTAGATGACTCACAATTTGCTGCCACTGGAGTAAGATTTGGCATTACCACTTTATCATTAGAATCATCAGTGTTTTCCTTTTGATCTTGTTCACTCTTAACTTCAATACTATGCTTTTCATTTTCAATAAAATTATCAGTGTCACTTACTTTCATTTTTTTCTGAGTTACATCTTTTGAGTTCTCAGTTGAAGATTCTAAACTTCGTCTTTTTCTTTTCCCCCTGCTATGCAGATTTTCTAATTTGTCTACTCCTACAGCATCATTACTATTTTCTTCTTGCTTACTGCCATTTTGATCACGTATTTCATCATCTGAACCAGATTCAACCGTCTCACCATTCACAGCTGAAGAAGAGTCAGTTGATTTAGAGCTGCGGAGCCTTAGAGATCTACGTTCACTAGAATTGTTTTTTATGCTCTTTATTTTAGAATTTGGTAATACTTTTTCATCCTCTTTGTCATCTTCCTTTATTTGCCATCGGTCATCAGGCTGAAAATCAATGCATGGTTTGCCACTAATAACAGTTTTCTCTCCCACAGTATCTATTTTGATAACTTGTGGTTCGGACAACTTTTCCTCCGATTCCTTGCAGCTCATGGTTAACTTCTGTGAGCTGAAAATAAAAACCTAATTATTAAGTTTTGAGTAATAAGAATATGGAAAGCATATTGCTAAACTAAATTTAATTAATTAATTTGTATTTCAAAAGCACACACAAAATTACTTTCATCCAGAAACAGGTGATAAAATATTCTAGACCTAAGTAAAAATTCTAGACGACATAGTGGCTAAAACAAAATAATTAATAATAAATAAATTTGAGTTAATTTAGTGAAATAACACTAAATCAACAATTGAAAAAGTCATCTTCCACTTTTTAACCACATGAATCCTTCTATACCTACAACTGCAATAGTTTCATTCTGAATTAAGCAAATATCTATTTATCATTTAAAAAATGCATGAAAAATTTTGTATGATGTATTAAGCAGAAAAACCAAATATAAGATAGTACTGAATTATGCATTATTTTTATTACTTTAAAATATAACTTATTCATAAAGTGCATACATCATATATGTGCATATATAATTTCCCATATTATCAAATATTTAAAAATTAATTTTGTTATTTTTAAACATATTTTTATACTTTTAAAGTAAAAAGCAGAAATACACAAGAAATGAGCAATATTTAAAAATGGGGCACTGCTTCTTTTAAACCCAAAAAGCAAAAATATTAAGCAAATGGGTACTTTTTTCTTGATTTTTTACTACTATAAGTTTTCCAGGTTATAGTAGATGCAGCTCACTAAAATCATGTTCAATATTATAATTTGGATACTGTTATTGCATTGCCGAAGTTCTGTTCATTTGTAAACAGAAACATGGAAAATATATTGCTTATTGTAATCAAGAATGTGGTTAATATGACCAAAATATTACAGAACTATTTAAACTAAAATTGCCAAATAAGATCAAGATAGATTATAAGTTTGCCACGTACATGGATTAAGTCACCAATCAGCTTGCTTCAATTTTAGTCAATTACTTAACATTAACAAGAAAAAAACAATCCCAATAATGCCTTAGCAAGGGAAATTATTCTTCTTTATGCATTACATTGGCAAACATGTCCTGGAAACACTGCTCAGAAAAATTAATAAAGAATTGTTTTAAGAATACGAGTCTTAATACATAACGAAACAGAAAGAAGAAAAAGCAATGTCTCCAACACTGATTCTAAAACAATTTAACATATGGGCAGATACTGATGAAAAAATTTAAACTGTAATACCGATGACAGAAGATTACTACCAGCAGCCTTATAAAACAAATTCAAGCATATCATGTCATAATAATAATAGTGTTCCACATGTCTTCTAGAACCGCACTACACGGCTTGCCCTTTGAACTTTGCATTAGGCAGGGGTCATTGGCTCACAAAGCTCCCAGGGGTAATTCAGTATAATTCAGCTACACTGCAGTGCATGAAGGATCCCAATCGCAGAGGCATGGATTATATCTACCAGTAAAATAGTAGAACAATTGTTAATAGCTATTTACAAATTATATACATATGGTAGGTCGCAGCAAACTCCATTTTGTGATAAATTTTCTGATGATGATGATAACGGAAATCAGTGAATTCCCTAGTAACGCTGCGATGAAGGATGCTCTCCAAGTATTAAGATAGGGATAAAGCACTGTCAAATAATTTATAGAAACATTACGAATAATTCATAAATGAACTTTTATGTTAAGAGACATTATCATACTTGCCAACCTACAACACTCAAAACTCAGGAGATTTTTCCAAATGGCCAAAAAAAAATTATAAAATATATTTTGAATACTACTTCAAATAGCAATAAATTAATATCTGAAAATTCAGTTACTAATTCTTATGTGTAAACAGTACAAAAACACTTATTTGTTATATATATATATATATATATATATATATATTACTTGCATTTTTAAGGAAAAAATACTTTAATAAATTTTCATACAAATGCTAAGAACAATAGCAGATTTTGCTTTCATTAAGAAATTCCATAATTTTGTTCATAGCAACTGCCACATACGCTTGTTTCTGCTGATAAAAGTTTTTATAATGCGTCATTACTAATATTAGATCTAAATTTAGTCCTTGTTTTTGCAACAACAATGAAAATCCTCTATACTCTGGATTACTATGGGAAATTGTCAGTATGGTCAACATTATCCTAGACAGTTCGCTCTACTTTAAAATTGCACCAGCACATTTCAGTTTTCCCATTAAACTCGAATAAGTGTCAATCCTAGCCGGTTTTTAACTATATTCAAGTTTTCTAATTGTGAACTCAAAAATTGCGACTCTAATTTATAAGCTGCAACATTAATAGCATTCTCTTCCATGACTAAATGATGTAGCTATCAAAAAATATCATACATCAGAAAAAGATACATTTGGCTAGAGCAAAAACAATAAAATCACTTCATCATTGAGTGGATTTGGTTTAGTTAGGTTTATGTAGTTATGGCAAAGCTTTGAGGGCTATTTGTATAAGGCAAAGGATGCCTTCGTGGAGGTCTTTCTAAAGAAAACTGGCTTGTATACATGTTACACATGAGGAAATTTATGAAAACGCATTCGTGGGATTTGAACTTCGTACCGAACTACCAGTGTTCAGTGACTTTACCACTCGGCCACTGGTGGGCCCATTGTTCACTGGGAATTTATATAACATGTAACTACATACTCTGCAGAAATAGCTTCTAACGTAGAAATCAAACTTATTTTTCTTTTCCTCTGAACGTTCTTCCACTACTTTGTTAATAGCAACCCCTATTACCAAATCTTCATCTTTCTTCTGGTTTTTCTATTTCACCATAAATCACATCCTATATAGAATTAGAAGACAGAACAATGATTGGTTTTACAAACTTCCACACAATGTCTTTACACAGATCATAAATGATTATTTGTCAAACATGAATTAAAATGGAATTCTGCTTTGTAAAATTGTGTTAAGAACATCGAATGATGGCAAAATACAAATGTACAAAAAAAGCAAAAAGCTTTGTTAAGCTCCAAAGACAAAAACAAATATTCGTTCTTATAGAATAAACTTACAGTAATCGAGAAATGTTTACCTTGTAGAGCAATTGTTTTATTTTGAGAGAAATTTGTAATGTGTGTTTGGGGTGGTATCTCTCTAGGTGGATGCACAGACCACCATGTCTTTCCCACATGTAAATATGAATACTCATGCCTATAGAGATGACATCCTTAATGTTTATGTGTGCCCTTATGCTGGACTAACAGGTGATAATATCCTGCTACAGGACGACAACGCTAGACCGCACAGGACTCGCTTTGTGGATGATTATATTCAGCAGCAAACAATTCAGTGCATATAGTGGCCAGCTCCATCAACGGACCTGAATTCTATCAAGCATGTTTGAGGTGCTTTAGGAAGACATACAGCTACTCTCAATCCTCTGCTTCAGACCCAGACCTCTTCAGACTTTACCGTGTGTGCAATGGCTCACTCCCTATGGAAATGACAGACTGCACAATTGTCACAACACATTGCCTGTATGTGTTGTATTGCTTCTAAGGGAGATAATACTCTGTATTGAAGATAATGTTCCTATACAAAACTGACACATCTGATTTGTTCATTTTATACATATGCTAATTTCTATAAGACCATAATCATCTGGTAATTTCTTTTCATGTTATTTTATACCTTACTATGTATTATATATTATGGGTCAGTTTCATTAAATTCTACATGCAACTTTTTGAGTAATCCTCATTTTTTTTTTTTTTTTTTTTTGTGATTTTTCCCTAATTAATAATAACCAGTGTATTTGAAAGAAGATCAGTGACTTTTATTTACATTTTACTAAGTTAGCTTTATGTTGATGCTTTTCTTAATGTCTCATTTTGTCACGTACTTGCTCAGGTTTAGTAAATAGCAAGCAGAGTTTTATATCAAACAGCATGGGTTAAAATGAGAAGTAAAATCATAAAAATCATCATGACTCGTAACAGAAGACAAGCTGTTGCCACTGCTGCTGCTTGTCTAGAGAAAGACCTGCTGATCTGAACAGATCTAAAACCTAATGTAGGAATGTTTAGGAAGTTTTGAAAGTTATAGTCTGTCTGACGCAGTTAGTGTCGTAGCTTTGTGTAGAGTTCCTGGGATTGTAACCCAGGTAATATATTTTAAGGTTCCAATAAGGCACTAAAGCACCAAAGTTATTTTGTATTATTTTAAGTTCAGCTGGAAGGAATAAGTACTACATTAATTTTTACACTTTGTGCTGTATCTTGTGATCATGATAGAAATTAATGAAAGGCAATAACTTTCTTTAACATGCAGAGGTAACTTTTAAGGGTGAGCAGTTAGTTATAAATAATTAAATGGGTAGTTAGTTGCCTTTAGTCATTACAGATTTACATGGCCACTATTAAATTTTATTTAACTAAAAAAATATTTGCTAAAAAACACTATTAAAATCACAATCTAATAATATTTCACAATTTAAAACACATATAATTTATGACATTGATTCTTAGATGATACTCGGACATATTAAAAGCTACAATACATGAATGTTTTCTAGCAACAAACACACACAAAAAAATATTTAAGCATCTTTTCAATTTGAAACCTTCCCTGACATTTTGCCCAATCTATAACTATTTCTTTCTCTTTATGCATCTTTTCTAACAATTAGAAATTTGTTTTTTGTTTCATTACACAAACCAATGTTCCCACAAGTTTCTGCTTTATCTCCTAATTTGTCAATTGTTTCATTACACAAACCAATGTTCCCACAAGTTTCTGCTTTATCTCCTAATTTGTCAATCTCTTGACAGCATACCTATGAGGTTTTACTTGATCTGGTAAAAGCTAAACAGTCCCAAACCCCTGACAGACATGAAGCAAATTATCACTATGTCTGAAAGTAACTACAAAGTCAGATAAAGGTTTAAATAAACATATCCTTTAACAAAACTTAGAACATACAGACACTTCTTATGCTAAAAAAAATCAACTACAGCTTTTGGTGATGTAATTAAGCAAGACCAGTCAAATTCAAAATAAAATTGTGG